GTCACCAATATTTTAAAATCAGATGATTTCATGTAAAGGTCTCTGTCTTTGCTTTTGAAATATTGGGAATGGGGCCACACTGGGCTGTGCCCCTCCCCATGGCCACAGTGGCTGAGAAGCACCTTCCCCACCCCTTCCTTTAGCCCCTTGGGGCACATGATCTGCAGTTTTCCACAGTCGCTGCTCCTCTCTAGTGTGTGTGTGTGTCCCCAACATGGAGACTGTCTGTCTCCATTTATCCCAGTCTTAACTGTTGGTTTTGTTTTATTAAGGTTAAAGAAAAGTGGGTAATTCTTAAGCTTGTTCCTCTCTCCAGGTGGAAATGAGAAAGATAGACCAAGAGGGCAATAGATACGTTGAAGGAAAAACAGTGGAAAGTGTACTGTGGAAGGAAGACTATTCCTATTCAATGCAGCAGACCTCTGTGTGGCGAGGATTTACCTTTAGACACCTGGACCACTTTGCTCATTTGTGTCATTACCCTCCTGGTGGTCTCTGTAGGCATTTTGCTGTGACTTGTGACCAGAATCACCTCTTTGGTCTAATAGCTCAGAGATGTGCTGATGCTTTCTCATCTAAAAAAATGACACATTACTGCCAAACTACTGCCATTCTTTCTTAGAACTCATGTGAGACGGAACAGTGCTTACAGAGTAGGAGCTCAAACTTGGGTAGGGAGGAGGAGTTTATAAAAATTAATGAGCAACCAACAATTTAAAAAGAGAAAAATCAAAAGCATTAATTTGTCTGTAGCCTCCTAGAAAAACACAAAGTTTCAGTCTCCAAAGCTGTGTTGAAAGCAGATGGGGGTCAAATCAATTTACTTTCGTGTTCTGATCAAAAAGGGAGGATATCACATAAAGGGAAGCATAGAGATAATGTATGAATCAGAGCACAGCTTTGGGGTGTTCGCAAATGATGCTGCCTGCTGGGATTGCAGGAGATAGGGGTCGAAGGAGTGGCTTCTTACCAGTAAGGACTCAGGGCCGGGGGAGGACGAGGGGGTTGGGTTGACCCCGAGGTGGCTTTTGGACACTGGGAGACCTAAGAAATGGCCTATTTTCCTTAATTCTCTGAATCCTGTTTCTTCACTTGTTTTCTTTGCTCACCTTATGAGATGGTTCAGAAGATTAAGCAAGATAGCACACGCTGAAGAATTGTGAAACCTTGGAGGACTACAGATTACAGATGAGATTCCGGAAGGAATTCTAGAATCATTCCCCACAGCCAGTCAGTCTATCAGCTGGTTCTTTTGATCTCATCACCCATCTCTCTCTAAACTGGTCTTCTCTCTACCGCTGTGCTGCGGTCCTAGCGCCGGCCACCCACCACCACCCCTTGGCCTGCAATCCCTGCAGGCGCCTTCTAACTGCTCTCCCTGTCTCTCCAACCCATTCAACAAAAGGCAGGAGAGGGATGGATATAAATATGTACCCTCCAGTAGCTTTCCACTGCCTTTCAGGTACTTTACCATGACTTGTAAGGGGGCCCGTGTTCCCGTGGCCCTCTAGCCCTGCAGCCTGCCCCACCCTGCCCTCCAGCTTTATCCGTCCCTCAGTCCTCCGCCCTCACCAGCTCTCCCTGCTACACTCCCAGCCCCCTCCTCAACCACCTTCCTTGAGGTTCTGCTCCTGCCATTTCACCATCAGCCCTCACTCTCTGTCAGAGCACTTAATCATACCTGGTCACTTGTGTTTGTTTTAAATTGTGATAAAATACACAAAATATAAAATTTACAATCTTTACCATTTCGAAGTGTCCAGTTCAGTAGCATTAAGTACACTCACATTGCTGGGCAACCAATCTTGCAAAACTGAAACCTCGTACCCATTGGGCAGCGATTCTCCAGTCCTCTCTACCCCTCCCCGGCCACCACCATTCTCTTTCCTGTTTCCGTGAGTTTGGCTGCTCCAGAAACTTCTTGTGATGGAGTCATACAGTATTTGCTTTCTGTGACAGGCTTATCTTACTTAGAATAGTGTCTTCTAGCTTCATCTAAGTCGTAGCACATGACAGGATTTCCTTTTGCAGCCGCATAATATTCTATCAAATATGTGTATACCACATTTTGTCTTTCCATTCATCTGTTGGTAAACACTTGGGCTGTTTCCACCTTTGGCTATTGTGAATAATGCTGCTATGGACCTGTGTGTACACATATTTCTGCAAGCTCCTGCTTCCAGTTCTGTTGAGTATATATCCAGAAGTGGAATTGCTGGGTCATATGGTAATTCTGTTTTTAATTTTGAGGAACCGCCATGCTGTTTTCCACAGTGACTATACCATCTTATATTCTCACAAGCAACGCACAAAGATTCTAATTTATACACATCTTCACCAACACTTGTTATTTTCTGTTGCTTCCCTTCCCTCCCATGCTGTAGCCATTCTCATGTGTGTGAGGTGGCATCTCACTGGCTTCCATCTCCACTTCCCTAATGATAGTGATGCTGAGCACCTTTCCATGTGCCCGTTGGCCATTGAGATGTCTTCTCTGGAGAAATATCTATTTGCCATTTTTTAATGTGGTTGCTTGTTTGTTGTTTAGTGTTCTTTGGCCTCTGGATTTTCAGTGCAGGAGAGTTTGATGTGTACCTGTAAGCTCCAGAAGGGCAGGGTAGTTCCCACCTTGTTCATTGCCATCTGCTTAGTGCCCAGCATGGAGCCTTGCTCGTGGTTTATTGGTTAACGGTCAAGTGTGTATGTCACTCTCAACAGCGAAGGAACAGAAGAATGTATCATTTCACATATTCCTTCTTGTTTCAAGAAGGACTTAAGGCTGTGGTTACATCCCTGGAACCATGGCATTTGTGAAGAGCGGTAGGTGACCCCATACATGCTTTAAAATGGAAAATCCGAGGTCTTGACGAGTGTAATTTCACTGTTTTTGGACTGTGCTTTTAAATTCCATTTTGCCTGAAAATGCTGGTCTTGATGATGAAACTTTGCATGTGTTTAGTAATTTTATGGTTTCAAAATATGCTGCTATCTAATTAGTCTCCTTTGATCCTCCCTTCTGAAAAACACGGAGGAAATGTAATCTGAGCTTCACTGATGGACGAGAGACAGAAGAGGAGAAAGAAGAGGCAGAGCCCCGTTCCTATCTCTGCTCCATGGCCAGGGTCTTCTCCTCGGGTCCTCAGTGCCTGATGCCCCCTCCCAGGTCTCAGCCCCTTTGGAGGGGCAGCCATCCAGTCTTGCCCATTCTCTGTCTCTGACAGCCCTGTCCACCCCTTCAGCTCTCTTCTCCTGCCCTTGCTGTTCCTTACCTGCATCACGGGGACAGCTCCTTATCCGGGGCCTTTACCTCCAGGCATGATGCTGTTCACTGCTGCCAGAGAAACCTTCCCAAAACCCAAATATGATTATAGTCCCATTGAATTAGAATTCTTTGATGGTTCCACATAGCCTTCAGGATAAAGCCCACGCCCTTTCGTGTGGCGCCCAGGCCGTTCACAGCAGCCTCATCACCCATGGCGGCCTCCCCGGTTCCCGTAGCTTTCCAGTCTCATTCCCTAAGTCCTTTGCAGATGCTGCCTTCCCTACCTAGGATGCCCCGCATCACCACCTGACCATGCCTACTCATCCCTGGGTTTCCTGTTCACCCTTACCTGCTACCTCACCACCTTCACCTGCGCCAAGTCAGGTCCTCACTTGCCTTGGCTCCCTGTGTTGCTCTCTACCTCTTGGTGCCCCGTGCCTGTCTGTAGGTAACAGTACTGTGCACCGTGAAGCTGGGACGGTGTCTTCTATCCACATTTCAACTGTTAGCCTAGTGCCTCTCACAGAGTAGGTCTTTGTGTAAAGGAGGGGGGAGAGGAAAGAGGAAAGTTTGTTGGATTTCAGAGTTCATATGCTCCCTGTCCTTGCCGTCCTCCACAGTCCCCCATGACCACCCAGTCTCACATTCTCCCAGTCCAGGTGGCTGATGCTGTGGGTTGGCTCTCAGAGAGCTGGGTCTACTTTGGTCAGTGGCCACCCTGCAACTCACCTACCTTCTGGTGACTGCGTCTCAGCAAAGAGAGATGACTCATGCATGTGACTCAGCGCGAAGCAGCACTGCTGGAAGGATGAATGATCAGAGCATCTGCTGGCGGGAGGGGACTTACCAAGCAGCAAAAATCCAGACCCAAGTTCACAGACTCTTGCAATCCTGCAGTCTGCTGACTCAAACGCAAGAGACTGTACTGGCCAAGCTTTATAAGACTTACATATTTGGGATTCTAATAGATTACTATTAAATAATTTAATAAACTACCCTATATTGCAGGCTTACCATGGTTACAGGCACTGTGATAAGCACCTTGCCTACAAAGTATCTCATCTTATTCTCAATAATGTAATTCTCTCAGTATTTACAACAAAAATAGCAAATGCATATATAGCAGTTACTTTGCTACAGATACTGTTCTAAGCACTTTGCATTTATTAAGTCATCTAATTCTCACAGTAACCACACAATACAGAAACTGCTGTTACCCTCATTTTACAGATGAGTAAGTGGAGGCACAGAAAGGCCACACATTAGAGGCACCCCCAAATCACATAGGAAGTAAGCGACAGAGCTGCTATACCAGCACAGACTTCTGAGTCCACACTCGTAAGCCCTGTGCTGTGCTTCCCTGGGGAAGTATAACTGCAGTCGCATTTTACAGGGGAGGAAACTGCACCTCGGAGAGGTTGTCACTTCTCCATAGTCACACAGCCAGGGAGTGATCCAGCCCCTGGCTTGTGACCGCTGTGCCCTCCTGCCCAGACTCGGGATGGAGCCCTCCCAAATTGGGGTCTGCTTCGTTCCCCTGAGCCCTTCCCATTGGCACTTTGCAAGGGTCAAGTCGGGAGGTAGGATTATAGGAAAGAAACGCTTTCTTCTGAGGGGAGGGTTTATAGCCGAAAGAAAGCATTGAGGGCACATTCTCCTTCGGATCTCCTTTCAGTTTGGGGTTCTAGAGAGTTTCTTCACACCAGGGATGCTGACGTGGCTCTTGTTACCTCCTCAGACAGCGAGACCGTGCACTACCACTACGGGCCGAAGGACCTGGTCACAATCTTGTTCTACATCTTCATCACCGTCATCTTGCACGCTCTGGTTCAGGAGTACATTGTAGATGTAAGTGATGTGTCCAGATTCTGAAGTCAGAAACTGGGGAGATGCCTTGGGTTGTAGGCGCTCACCTCGGAGGAGCTCTGTACCTCTTCACCCCTGATTTTTGTGCCCCTGTTGGTCCTGCCAAATAGATGCCTCTCACCACACTTGGGTCTCTGGCCCTGCCACAGGCTGCTGTAGCCGGTGTACAGCAGTATTTGCTGCACGGGAGAGAACTGGCTGAACTCTGACAGGACAGCATCCACGTGGCCTGTCATACATGCTTTGGTTGGAGGGTGTGTTCTTTATGTCTAGGCTGAGGACATTAATCTTGCTGCTTTCTCAAAATGCTTGCTTTAGACCAAGCACTATGTGCACACAATCGCCTTACACTAAATACCTTGGATTACAGCTCGCTTCAAACTTCAGCCTTTTCATGGGAAGAAGCAGGACTTTGAAACTTGCCTGTTCGTTATCAATACACTAGTATATTAATATGTGGGAATCTCTTTATTCTTTAGAGACTCAGCAAACGGCTTCATCTCTCTAAGGTCAAACACAGCAAGTTCAACGAATCTGGACAGCTGGTTGTCTTTTATCTCAGCTCGGTGATATGGTGCTTCTACGTGGTGGTGACGGTGAGTGGTCCTCAAGGCTCCTCTCGGATTGCTGATAAAATAACTGCTAAGGGCTGAGTGGGGAAGGAAAAGAGTGAGGAGTAGTGTGGAAACTTGGGGCCTTTTCTTAGAACTGAAGCTATTTTTACATCCTTATGGTATGGTGAGAGGGAGGTCAAATAATATAAATGACATTTTATAGCTGAAGAGAGCCATCCTGCCTAAAAATAAACACTTGTTACAGTTATTATGTGAGGGTGTTCTGATGGTGCTGCGTATCTAGAGGGCACGGCGTCGTTCCGCAGCACCCTCCTGCAGATGCTGTACCACAAGACAAGTGTGTGTTCACTTGGGCCCCATGTCACGGACAGTAGAAATCCACGCTCAAGCTTCCAAGTGCGCCCACGGGCACTTTCGAAGTAGCAGGGACGGGCTTGGTCTTGGATCTGGTTCTGAGTCCAGTACACTTTGTGTTTTTTATTGGCCTCCTGCCCGCAAGGCCAGCACCCCTGTCCGCACGGCCATCCAGTCCTGTGAGTTGATGCCATTCCCACAAGTGCCTGGCGGACCAGGCCAGTTATCTGCGTCCCATTGGACATAGTGGGACTCGTTTCAGGCATCCTTTGTTTCAGGCATCCTTTGATACCGCAGAGTTCCTTCAGACAAAGCAATGTGGCCCGGCCTTTGGGGTTCACTGTAACAAGACCCGGGCCTGTCCCTGCTAGGAAGCATCCCCGCTCTGCCCCTCCAGCCTGGAGCACCCCCGCTCTGAACCTGGTCTCCTTCTCAGGAGCTAGAAGTGCCCTATCAGAAACTCAGGCCTGGGATTCAAGAATTCAGCAGCCCTGTGTGTGACCTTTTAGAAATCGCTTTCGCTGCCTCCCCCTTCCTCTTCTTTCTTCAGTGACAGGGATGAACTTTCACATCCTGAGGAACTCTGCCTCCAGAGATGAACATTCAGTTCATATTCTCAAAGAAGTCGACATGTTCTTTTGTACATCGCTTATTTCCATTATCATTTAATCCCAGAACATTTATCTTAAAGAGAACACTAGGAATTTTAAATGCGGGACTTAAGACGTCTGTCTTCCCAAGCAGGGCTGTCACGTTACCCTGTCCCAAGGGGCGGACCTACAGGCTGTTGTGTGAGTAGCGCCCCCTGCTGTTGTGCAGGGCACATCCTGGCCTAGCAAGTCTAGGTACTTCTGGGTTTCAGACCTGTCTTTAGTAATTGGTATTTGGCTCATGCCTGCCTCTAGAGACCCTGGGCTGTTTTAAGGGAGAATAGCTTCAGAGACAACATTTAACTGTTTTTTCAGCAAAGCATTGCCTCATCCCTGAATGAATCACTTTTACCCTTCCCACCTCACCCCCATGCTCCACACAGCTGTGACACATTTAGAGTAGATTGGAGGCCAACAACCAAGTTCCTACCCCTTCCAGAGTGTGAAATGCTCAACTCCTCTGTGTTTGCTTCTCTCAGCCTTCAAGGGCTTGAAAAGGATGATGCTAATTAGTCTGGGAGAATGTAGCACTTTTGGGAGGAATCTCATAACAGGCTTTTATTATGGTGACAGCCAGTGCCCCACTCAGCATCTTTGACAGGAAATGGAGACCACAGGGACCCCAGAAAGCTCCAGTGACCCCACCCCCAAACACCTTGTGCTTCTGGCCCTCACCTGCCCCCTCTGTATTGCTCTGCCAGGAATGAAAGTGCAGTTTTGTAAAAGGAGTGAAAACAGCTCATTTTTTAAACCATATTTTTATGTTATGATGCACATTTTCCTTGAGTGTTCTCTTTCTTTCATCTTCCATAGTCAGTTCCTCAGCAGGTCCTGCCATCCCACCCCCAGAACACATTAGGGTTCTCTCAGCTGCTCCCTACCAGCACTGCCCGCCACCCCAAGTGCTGCAGTTCTCTGGGGGGGGGGGTGGAGTTTCTGCCCCCAGGGCACGTTTGGCAGTGTGCCTCTGGCATGTAGTACGTGGGGGCCCGGGGTGCCACTCATGTCATACAGTGCGCAGGACAGTCCCTGAGACGAGGAGCTGTCCGGTCCCCAGTGTCATTGTGCGATGGTGGAGAAACCCTGATCTGCAATCCAAGCCACCATGGTCTCTTGCCTGGATCACTGTACATCTTCCTTCCAGAAGGAGGCCGTTTGCTCTCCTTTCCTCTCCTACCCCAGCCCATTTTCTCCTCAGCCAGACAGATCTTTTTAGAATGTAAATCAAATTGTGTATTTTCCTGCTTAAAAGCCCCCACCCCACTTGCAGTAAAATCGTTTTCTTCCTGACCACTGTGCTCTGCGCCCTGCTGCCTTGCCCGTCTCAGCTCGCTGGTCCCAGCCGCACCGCTCTTCCCGGGCTCCCCTTACTCTCCGGGAGCCCCTGCCTCCTGGGCTTTGCTCTGTGGTTCTTCTGGCCAGATGCTCCGTCTTCTGGCGTCCCAGGGCCGGCTCCTCTCTGCTCTCCAAGTCTCCACCTAAATGTCACCCCTGCAGAGGCCACCACTGCCCCATTTGTGTTTTCTGGACTGTGTCTATCGCTGTGCTGCGTTCCCTGTCCACGTGTGTGTGTCCTCTGCGGTCTCTCTCTCACACTGGACCCTGAGCTGCTCGCTCAATATTTGCCATGAGAATGAATGAGCTACCAAATGCATCTCCTTGTGCCATCCTTTGGCAGTTTTTAAAGTAATGGGTTGTTTTTATAAACATCATAGATGATCATTTTTTAAAAAGTAAGCCATACATACAAGTTGAAAAAAGAAAGCAAAACCTTACCCCAGATCTCTTCTTCCAGAAATAATCAGTTTTATTTTGGTGTTGATGTGGACGTTTCTCTCTGCTTATAGACAGGCAAGGTGATAGGAGTGTGGCTGCACCAACCAACAATTTTATAAGAATGTCAACCTCGTGTTTTTAATTTACCCTTGAACTACTGTCAGTGGTCAGGACCGAACACACAGACACACACACACACACACACACACACATACACATTCTCTACCGAGGAGAGCAGGGTGGTGAGCATTTGGTCCTGCTGCCTGACGTCACATTTTAAAACCTCAACCCGGAGCCCAGTGAGAACCTGGTAGAAGGGACACCTTTCACGCTGGTGCTTTGGTCAGGGCTGATTTCTGCTGTTCGCTTAGAGTAGCACTTTAGTGGTGGTTGCTCCTGAAGGACAGATGTTACAATGTATGTCTGAATTAGGTAGCAGCCGGCTGTGTTGTGCCTGGATTCTGCTGTTTCTGTGGTTCTTTCTGTTCTGGCACCAAAAGGAGGGCTGCCGGGGGGAAGGGAGAGGTGGCTCCAGTTTGCTCAGGCCTCGCTTAGTTCATGGGTTGACCTTCAAGAACCAGAAGAGAACACAGGATTCCAAAAGCTCCCCAGACCCTCCTCCTGTGCCTGTTGGTGGGTGGGATTCGAGGTGGGTTATAGGTGCTCCCTCTAATGCACTCGGCCCCCCGGGCCTGGGGTCCTTGGCATGCCTGAGCTCGGAGGGTGCCCCAGCCCCAGGCCCCCCTCAGGCAGCTTCCTGGCCCGAGGTCTGGAAAAGGCTGTTCCCAGGGCAGTGAGTCATTTGTCCTCTGGTTCCCCCTGCTCTCCTCCCCCACCTCCTCCTGCACAGTCCCTGAGGACTGGACATTCGCAAGCAGGCAGCATTTTTCTCTGGTTGTTGGCTTCAGAGTTCTGACCTCCTCATCTCCTCAGTGAAGGGGCCAAATTGAGGTGGTTCCTGTTTAAAATCGCAAGGTCAGCAGGGCTTTCATTTCTCCCAGTGCTACCTCTCTGGGGCAGGAATTCCTTTCCCACCTAGTCCCAGCAGTATCATTTCCCTCCTTAAATACACTGATGCTTCTTCTAGAAAGGAACCTTCTCACCTCTGTGATTTCCGTGGAATGAGGTAGAGCGTGGAAGACGGCGTTTCGCTGTGGCCCAGGGCCTACGTTTGGTCAAGGCAGAGGTGATAGCAGCCTTGTGGATGTGATTAAGTGTTCCTCCCACCCCCAAGTGCCCCAGAACTTCCCACCTCTGCGCCCCAATCTGTGTGACCGAGGGAGAAAGGGCGGTAGTAGTGAGAAGAGGCCAGAAGTGAAGCTGTAAAGGTTTGGGGTAAGACCCGTTCCTTCATGTCAAAGTCACCATGGCTACACTGGTGTGTGTGCCTGACTTGTCCAGCCATTGGGCTGATGAGGCCCCAGACTGGGGGACTGGGCTGAAGAATCTACCAGGAATGTCCCAGGGCATTTAGTACCACTGAGCTGGGTGGATCGGCCCCCTTGGGAAGTACACTGAGGATCTGACGGACAGTAACTGGAGTGCTTCTCATTACTGCCTGTTGGCCTCCTCCTCCTCCTCCTCCTCCTGAGCACGGCCGGCCCCTCCCTTAGTCCCAGTGTGAACCAGTGAGGTTCTCAGCCTCCCCATCAAGTCTGCCAGTTCCGTTTATTTCTGCCTTACTGAAGCAGCCAGGCCTGTGGGTATCAGACCAGGAGTCTAGTGGCCCCACTCAGGTTTTAGTCATGTTACTGAAAAACCATCTCATGTGCCCCAGTGGTATCACTGGCCCCAGTAGTACACACACTGCTGGTCCCTGGCCTGCACAGGTGGAGTAAATTTCAACTCCAGACCCATGTGAAAGCAAACCTCAGGCAATGAATTTTCAAGGGATAGTATTTTTGATTTCATCCTTAGCCCAGGATGAGCAGACATCTTCTTCATCTCCCTGTGATGGTCATCAGACTCTTTCTAGTCTACTCGTTCTCTAAGGTGGTAGCCCTTTAAGGCCTGGACTTTGCACATGGGTCTTGGACTCCACCTCCCGAGGCACCGTCTCCTGCTCCCACAGGGGCACGAACACCCCAGCCCCACAGCCTCCCTTACTGCTGTGGCTTTCAGCTCCCTATTCTTTCTGGGGTCTCAGGGGTTTTTTCTTTCTTATAGTGAACGCAGCTTTGCATTTAAAAGAATACTTGTTAGATTTCATCCATCATTTCTATATGTTTTGTGATGGGAGGCTTTTGGGGTTGCACCCCTTCTGTGTAAGAGGCCCTGGGTGCCCATCCTATGTGAGGGCCTGGATGAGATGCCAGAGATTTAAGGAAGGGCAGGCAAAGACCGCAGCCCGAGGAACCTGCAGAGTAATGGAAGCAACTGGCCGTGGTGACACAATGTGATAAGTGTCACACTTACGAGGCCTGTGGGGTGATGTGGAAAGCCAAACTAGGCTTTTTGTTTTTCCAGTGGACGGTGATTGTGGAGTCCATTTGCTTATTCATCCTACAAGCATTTCCTGAGTGCCACATGCCAGGCAAAATACTAGACCCTGTCACATAAACACAAACTGTCATATTCATTTCTAACAATAACTCTGGGAGGGTAAGTATTTTTATTCTCATTTTACGGATGAGCCAGCTGCAGCTTGGGGACTGACTAGCTGGGAGGATGGAGGCAGCTGGGAAGTGCCGGGCCCACGTCCAGACGCAGGTCTCTGACCCCGCAGAGCTCTTCCTGCTCTGTCCCAGCAGCGGCCCGCCGGGGGCCAGCGGGTCCCACTCGGACGGTCCTCCATTTCGTGTTTCCTGTTCTTTCCTCTTCCTGGCAGTTGGGGATTAGACGCTTCCCTGACCCCTGACATTTCTAAATACTGTCTCCTCTCGCCTACTGCAGGAGGGGTATTTAACCAACCCGAGAAGCCTCTGGGAAGATTACCCTCATGTGTACCTCCCGTGAGTATTCTCATGACCTGGTCTCCAGAGAGGAGCCAGCCAGGCCTCTGGCGCCCTCCTCTCAGAACGTGTCCAGAATGCCGTGGAGCCAGCTGGCATGAGCGCCCGTCGTGTCCTGAGCCTGTTAGGGCGCAGTCTTGTGGAAGACAGACTTGTCTGGGTGCTTCTTCCTCCCAGTCTGCTGGGCCGGAGAACCCCAACGTGGAGTGTTGTCTGCACCAGCCCCTGTCACAGAGGGGGCGTCTTAGCGTGGGCTGCTGTAGCAGAGCAGCATGGACTGGGTGGTATGTGAACTTCAGAAATTCATTTCTCATGGTCCCGGAGGCTGGGACGTCTAAGACCGAGGTGCCTGCAGTGTCAGTGTCTGGGGAGGACCCGGATATAGACAGCATTTCTCCCTCCGGGGCCCTCACAGGCTGAAGTGGAGAGGGTGTTCTCTGGGGCCCCTTTTACGAGGACATCAGTCCCGCTCGTGAGGGCTCTTCACCTGCGGCCAGGCCGTCTCCTGAAGGCCTTGCCTCCTGATACCATCACACTGGGGACTAGGGTGTCAGCATATGAATTCTGAGGGGATCCGGACGAATTCTGTGCCAGCTGGGTCTGTGGCAGGTCCTTGCACCCCGTGAGACACAGTGGCAGAGCGCCTCCCTACAGTCCTCTAGCTGGGAGTGTCCTGGTGACCCACCACTGTTCACAGCACATCTCCCTGCTGACTTCCGTGGTGGCACCCCATCAGAGGCAGCATCCCCCTCCCCTCCTGCTCTGATGAGACACAGGAAGGCAACAGCTGGCCCTGTCCCTCAGGAGGCCGCTCCTTCCTCTCCCCAAGACCCTGCAGAATGACGGCAGAGGACTTCGGCTGAGTTAGTTCACTCCTTTGCTACTGAGGTCCATTTGTTCAGTGTGTTCCCGCCACCCTCTTCTCCACCGGCAGTTCTCTAGAATCAGCTCCCTCCTCAGCCTTCCTCCTCTGGGCCGAAGGCCCTCCTCCTCTGCGCTCTTTTTACCATTTGTATTTCTCTCGGTGGACTCTCTGTGTCCCTGTAAATGGTCTTGTCTGGGGAGCCGGGTCCCCAGGCTCAGGAGCGTGGTGCTGGCTGAGCCCCCTCCATCCTGGCTCCTGGGCTGGCTCCTCACAGAGTCCTGGCCCTCGCCTTCCCTCCTGTGCTGGGCAAGCATCATGGGGACATTTTTCTTCATCCCTCTCATGTGACTCGTTCCCTTGTCCCCAGCTTCCAGGTGAAGTTTTTCTACCTGTGCCAGCTGGCCTACTGGCTGCACGCACTTCCTGAGCTCTACTTCCAGAAGGTACGGAAGGTGAGTACTCCCTTCCCCCTCTTGAAGCCAGGGGTCTTCCTCGCCCCTCTGCTGTTCCAGCTAGTCCTGCCCCTTCCTCTAGAAGTTCAGAGGGGTGGGTGCTGCAGGGGGTGGGGAGGGTGTTGTTGGCAGGTTGAAAAACTGCTGAGTCAGCAGTCGCCAAAGTCCCCAGGAGGACCTCCATGAGAGCAGGCCACCAGCATCAGTCTCCTGCCTGCCTCCCATGCCATGTATGTGGCTTTGGAGGAAATCTGAGTCTCATTTTCTGGATGGCAGATGGAGAGGTTCATGCCTTTTCCACAGTCTTTTCTTTTTAATAGCTTCCCTCTGAATTATGTCCAAAGCCCTGTCCCCCAGTCCCTGTCCCTTCTCAACCCAACCCCGCCCTCTGGCTTTGGACCTGAAGCTGCTGCCTCGCTCTCAGACTTTCCAGCAGCCTAGTGCAGGGGCTTCGGCATGGCCTGGGACTGTCTGTGTTAAAGCACCAGCCCTCGGCCGTGGGGAAGGTAGCCTGGCCACCCTCACCCATCTGAATGTCCCCTCTGTCCCTGCATCTGCGTTAGGGAGCACGCACGCTCACTCTTGTTTCTCTTGTCCTTTCCTTTGTCCGCAGGAGGAAGTTCCCCGCCAGCTCCAGTACATTTGCCTGTACCTGGTCCACATAGCCGGGGCATACCTCCTCAAGTGAGTGAGACCCGGACCTGCCCTCATGTTTCAGCATCTCTGCACACATTCATTCAGTTAGTGAGCATTCATGAGATGCCTGCTGTGTACTGAGTGCCAGACTAAGACCTGGGAATACAGAGATAGATGACAGAAGATTCCTTTGTTGTCAGTGGCACATTCACAGTAGGCTTGGCTCTCCGGTAGGAGAGCCAACTTATACACTGAGAAGGAGGACGGCTTAGTGTTAAGCATTGTACTATGGCGTGTCGTCTTCTGTCAGGGGAACTCAGAAGAGTGACCACTGCGCCCGAGACAGCAGGGAAGGCTGGCCAGGGGTGTTGGCACTTGGTCTGTGGCTCTGCAGGTGGGGGGCGGCCCGAGGCTGGGCCCCTGCCTCTGTGTCCAGTAGCAGAAGCTGCGAGAGTGCGCAGCCCTGGAACCTGCGTTCCTTTGATTCGTAAGGAGACATAGAGTAGTCACTGCTAGTTGACCTGAAGTCAGAAGAGTAGCTGTGGTGTTTGGCCTCGAGTGTCTCTTATGCAAAGATTCACATCGATGAACAGGGTGTATCATTGCTAACTTGGGTTTTCCTGAGCACTGTCCATGCAGTACCGGGGAGCACCCAGGACTTTCTCTGAGCTGGCGTTTTGAGACCCTGTGATGTGTAACTTGGTGATGTGCGCTCCTCTGCTAGGCCACCTAGAGGTCGCGGGCCCATCCTGTTTTAGGTCCTTGCAGTGGGCGTCCAGTGAGAACGGTGGGCTCAGGCAGCAGAGGCAGGTGGGGCTCTCACACTTGGTCTCCTGTCTCGGGAGGCCTCCATCAGGCAAAGTCCTGGATGGGCCTTGAGGGCGAAAAGGCTGTGTGGAGAGGGTGGCGCTGCTCTTATGCTGGATGCTCGTGTGTCACACGCAGAATGGGTCTGGGAAAGCCAGTCTACGCTGCCACCCCAGCAGTGTGTGGCGGGGACAGGGTGAGAAGGTGCAGGCAGGACCATGTAGCAGAGCCTCCTGCTGCTGTTGGGACCCTTCTAGCTGCTGAGGATGTGAGATGCTCCAAGATCCATTTTTGTCTGCCTCTGGCATCTCCCAGGGAAGGAAGGGCAAGGCAGGTGTCTGACCCTGTTTGCATCGAGTCCTCAGAATCTTTGTTTTGGAATGCAAACAGGACGGAGAGGGCAGCAAATCCTCCTTAGCAGATCCTCCAAAGTCATGTCCAGTCTGTTCCCAGAGAAGCTGGCACCGGGTCAAGGTACAGCTGCCTCTCCCTGCTCCCTTAGGGGACGTGGGTTCCCTTCCCACCCATCCTTGTTCTAGTTTCTTGAAGTGAGTGTAGGGAGGAGAGGCCCTTGGATGCAGGATCTCCTAAGGAAGACAGATCTTTGAAATGTCGAATGTCGTGGGGTCTTGTTATGGTGAGGAGCTTGGCTTTTGGAGGCTTTTGCTCACTCAGCACAGCCCCAAGCCCTCCTGTGGGCCGGGCGCTGCCTCAGGCTGCAGCTGCATCTGGGTGAAGGCAGACAGGCCCTGCTCTCCTGGGCGTCCGTTCTAGCGGGAGGCAGACCATAAACCAGGAAGTAAGTGAATGGAGTTTCCCATGGTGGTAAGTGCGGCAGAGAAATAAAGCAGGACAGCGGGTGTACTTGGCACCTTCGGGGTGTGAGGAAAGCCTCTCTGAGGAGGGAACTTAGGTGAGGCACGAATGACAAAAGCCAGGTACGTGGAGATCTGGGGGGAGAGCTGTGCAGGCCGAGGGAGCAGCAGGTGACAGCCCTGGGGCGGGAGTGAGCACGAAGCCCACTGTGGCTAGGATAGAAAAAATGAGGCTTGAGACCAGGTCATGGGCAAGATCGTGTTGGACTTTCTAGGCCATGCAAAGACATTGGGGAGTTTTCACATTATTCTCTAGACAATGTTTGAGATCCAGTGACCATTGCGATCGGTTTTGCACTTTGGTCTTAATGTGTGGAAGTGGCCAGACCTTGATATGTCACCACCTGGGGCAGGGCTCCCACAGTGTCTCATTGACTTCCTGAAGCCCTACGTGTTCCGCAGGGTTGTGATTTCCCTTTGCGTCTGACTGGCAGCTGACCATCCGCAGCACACCGCTTAAGAAAGTCCTGGAATCGAGCAGAGGGGGTGTCTGAGTGGGCGCTATTTTTTAAGAGTTCGGTTCACTAGCATAGATTTTTGCGTCATGTTGAGTTTTGCTTCTTTGTGTACCTCTAAGCTGTGAAGACTTGGCTAATGAAAACTTAGATGACGGGAATCCCTGATTCTCCGTGCAAAGCTCAGCAGCTTGTTTTAAGCACCTTTTGTGTGCTTCGTCTCTGGCCAGATGGTGAGTGCTGTGAAGAGCCTCAGCCAGGGTCGCTATGGGAGCGGTAGGGGTGCCTGACCCAGAGAGGACAGGGAAAAGGCCAGGGGTTCAGTATTAGGAAAAATTCTTGAGGTGTGACAGCAAAATGGAATCCCAAAGGCTGAGGCAGGGCCAGCCAGGGAGTGGAGGGGAGGGGAGAGTGGAGCCCAGGGCTTTGGGCCCCTCGGCTCTGCTCTCCACGGACGTGGGGGTCTGTGTAGCTCGTCTCTTCCCCCGCAGCCTGAGCCGCCTGGGCCTCATCCTGCTGCTGCTGCAGTACTCCACCGACCTCCTCTTCCACACGGCCCGGCTCTTCTACTTTGCCGACGAGAACAATGAGAAGCTGTAAGTGCTGAGGTTGGGAGGCTGGCCTGCTTAGAGGCATAGAAGACAGGGGTGGCCTCTGATGGGAAGGTCCTGCCCTGGGTGTCAGCTGCCCCCCTACCTGCAGACTTCCCCCTGAGGTTTTCTCCTGGAGCATCTCATTCTAGATATCTCACCCCTTGGCCACCCTGAGCCTTTTTCCCACTTGGATCACCTCTGGAGAAGCGGGTGAAGTTTCCTCACGGGCCTAAAGGCTGATGCCCCCTTTCCCCCTCTGCGAGTAGGTTCAGTGCCTGGGCCGTTGTCTTTGGGGTCACCCGCCTCTTCATCCTCACCCTCGCCGTGCTGGCCATTGGCTTTGGACTTGCTCGCATGGAAAACCAAGCTTTTGACCCCGAGAAAGGGAACTTCAACACCTTACTTTGCAGGTGAGTTAGGCAGAAGGGCAAGGCAATAAATCAGGGTTCCCTGGGAGCAGCCAGGAGCCTCCTGAACTTGGCACAACTTAGGCAGAAGGTCAGGAGGCAGCACACACCTGGACCTCCTGCATGTCGATGTTTCTGGGAATCCCTGGACATTGGGCCTGAGGGAGAAGAGATGCCAGCCTTCTTTTTCCATCAAAACCATCCTCACTTCCCGGCCCAGGCCCAGAAAGACTAGTCAGGGCCTCAGTCCACATGGGAATCCCCTCACCTTTGTGGTGCTCAGTAGGCTTCTCACCCGGCCTCTCGGTGATCATTGCAGCTCCGCTTGGACTGTTGACAGCCGTGTTCTCAACAGGCGGGCCAGTGGCCTCCCGTAGCAGTGAGGAAGGCAATGAGGAAGCCGCTGTGTTTCCATAAGACTTAGGGCCTGGGAAGGTGTGTGACTGGGCCAGGGTGGCACTGCTTTTAAGTGCCATGCTAGATGAGAAGCCACAATAGAATTATTTCTGCTGTGTATAATTCAGTTCATTTGAATTCTTCCAGTGTATATTGAGCTAACATGAGCCATGTTTTATGCTGTGGGTACAAAAGGGACAGGCCATGGGTCCCAGCCAGCATGGGGACAGTATGACTGGGGGTGAATGTATGTCTGCCGACAGCCTCCCTAGCCTGGTCTCTCCACCCCCACCCCCAGCCCCCGAAGTATACTAGAGCAGAGATGGGCACTGGCCCCTGGCCCTTCCTGGTGGCGGTGGCAGAGTGGGGGTGTGCTGGGGCCGAAGGTGATCTGCCATGGGATGGGCAGGGCTCCTGGCCTCGGGAACTCCCCTGCCCTGGGGCTATGGGCCTGAGGCCCCCTGAGTGCCCACTCTGCCCCTCTGCAGGCTCTGCGTGCTGCTGCTGGTGTGTGCTGCCCAGGCCTGGCTCATGTGGCGATTCATCCACTCCCAGCTCCGGCACTGGAGGGAATACTGGAATGAGCAGAGCGCCAAGCAGAGAATCCAAGCTGCCCCTAGACCATCAGCAAGGCTCATCAAGAGGGAATCTGGTGAGTGCCAGGGCTCGGGCGGGCCGAGGTGGGGTCTGTCAGGGTGGATGGGAGGGTCAGGCTGGATCCTTGGGCTCTACCCAGACTAGTCCTGCTGCCCTCTGCCTGGACCCCTCCCCTGGGCCTGGGGCTCTCTGGCTCCTGCCCGGGCCTGATTGGCACGTGGCTAGGTGTGGACCAGGGACAGACTGTGGGCGGGGCTGGCCCTGGCTAGGCGGGAGCCCTCTGGCAGTGGTGAGGCAGGGCAGTGGCTGGATGAGGAACTCTTGGCAGGAAGCGTGTCCTCAGGGTGGCTTCTGGATCCCAGCCGAGTTCTGCGCCTGTTCTCTGGGCCGCACAGCTGCTCTGTCCTCACCTGCCCTCTGCTCTATCTACATCATGGCCCGCCCCTGCCTCCCAGGCTGCTGGCTCCTCTTCTGTCTTCAGGAATGACTCAGGATGGCACAGTGCTAGGTGGGCAGCAGGGGTGGGACACCCACTTCTCCTTTGGCCCTGCCGCACCTCAGTGACCACCCACCCGTTCTGGGTCCTGGGGCACCACCAGCCCTGCGCTTTCTGTCGAGCCTGGAGGCCTGTCTGTGCCAGGATGTGTTGTGACTCACCTGCCTTTCTCCAGGTGTGGCCTGCTTGGCAGGCGCTCTTGTGCGTTAGGACCAGACATGTGTGTAGCCAGGTGTGTTGAGGAGCCAGGCCTGGCTGTGGTGGGTTTGGGGTGTGAGGTGGCAGCCAGACATGTTCTCTGACTTGGAGCAAGCACACAGGCATGTTTTTGACAATAATAAAAAGATTTCTGCCCTAATTTTTCTGCCAGAGCAGTGTCGGGCATTGGAGGAAGGCCTCATCCCTCCAGCCTGTCTACCCCTTCCCTCTGTTGTCATCTTCCCTCGGGTTGTTGCCAAAGTGGGCGGCTGCCCTTCAGGGCGTCCTGAAGAAACTGAGGACACTGGTGGCGGCTGAGTGATCTCGGCAAGGACCTGACCCCAGCCTCAGGCCTCTCCTGTTCTTGGGTGACTGTGTGTCATCCCAGCCCCTTCCACTGAAGAAGTGTCGGAGACCAGCCACCTCAAACGGAGGAGCCTCCGGGAGCAAGACCCTGGGGGAAGCAGCAGCCTCCGGGGGCGGTCTGCCGGGTGCCCTGGGTTCATCTTGTGGGCAGAAGCTGGGCCTGGCTGTCCGGGCCCTACTTTCCTCTCCTGCTCCAGTCCCAGCAGAAACGCCATGTCTGTCTGTCTCCCTTTACTTCCTAGGTTATCATGAAAATGGAGTGGTGAAGGCAGAGAATGGAACCTCCCCACGGACTAAGAAACTCAAGTCTCCTTAAAGCCAAAGTGCTGAGAACAGAAATCCTCTCGGGGGTGCCCAGCAGGGCAGCAGGGGGGCCCCCCCGGCCTCGGTCACTGCCTCCCTTTCCTGTCGTGACGCTCCGTATCAAACAGCAGGAACCTGTCTTTCAACGGGGCTTTTCCTCTTTTCTTTCTTCTTGCCTTTTTCTTATTCTTCCATAAACCATTCTCAATAAAACCAAAAATCTTCCTTTTTCTCTCCCTCAAGCACTCACACCCTCACCTCTGTCCTGTGTTGGCTTTTCTGGAAGCCCAGGTTCTCCTGGTTACCTTTCTGCTGGCCTCCTTTGTTGTCTGTCACGGCTGCTGCTTTCTTTTTTTACTTCTTTTACCGTGTTGTGCAATTTTTCCGTCTTGATTTTTACCATGAGAGAGAGCTGTGATTGCAGTCCTGGCCACCCAGCCCCAGCATCGGTCCCCAGGACCTGCCAAAGTCTGCAGGCCTCGTGTGAGGAGCAGGCCCCCCGGGGTCCCTGTGTGGATGGGCAGGAAGAGGAGAGACCGCCTTCGTGATCACAGTCTCCTAGGTGCTGATTAACTGACAACATGTATGATTCCAGTTCTGCATGTACTGTCTTGAGGCCCAGCAGGGCTGCTGCTCCTTGAAATGCCAAGGTGTTTGGCTTTGGGACTTGACGACTCGGTCCAGAAGGAGGGTGTTAAGTGTGTTGGGTCCAGTGACTCAAGACGGCTTGCCAGTGGTTGGTCCTGCGCTGGAAACCAGCCTGCCCTCGCTCTGCTGAGGAAGTGCCGGAGATTGGACAGTTCTTCCCACTGTCTAGAGCGAGAGCAAGTGGCCTGAGCATCAGGCTCTTCCAGAAAGTGATGGTGGAGGTGACCCAGGACTTTCTGGAGCAGCCCCAGCTGCACCTGCTTTTCCGCTGTTCACCAGCATTCACAACCAAATCTGCCCACCAACAGGACTGGCCAGGCATGGGCTGGTCTAAACCCCAGGCCCTGGCAGCCCTGTCAGGCCATCCCTGCTGCCCGACTTCATTTCTCTACCCGCAGGAACCCCAAGCCCCTGCCGGCCTCCCTTGTTGAGTGTTCTTTGGAATTGTCACTGTTACCCGCTGAGCTTTGTCGAGCACACCGACAGCAACAGCGCTGTGGATGGTGTGAACCAGGACGGGCCGCTTAGGTGAGCCGAGTGGCTGTACCGAGGCTTCCTGCCCTCTCGCGTGGTCTTTCCCTCCTCTCTCCCCAAAGATAAGGCCCCGGCGGGGCCTGGTGAGGACTTGACAGAAGAGTTAGGCTTTCCAAGGTCCTGTTTAAGAACTGGACTCTGCTGCGGTGCTGAGGAGTGGTTCTTGGTGGGCACAGGAACATCAGTGTCCTTTGATGAGCTGGCCCTCTTTCTGACACCACAGTAGAAGCTGGGCCTTGGATCATCATCCAGAAAGGGGGCGATGGGTCTTTCCATCAGGGCAGTGCCTGTTCTCCACACCACTTGCATCAGAGATCAATTTTCATTTTCTAGAGACTGAGGGATTTGTTTTCTAACACCTTTGTATCTGGAATCACCTCTCTGTCAAATGATTATGAAAAGGAGGAACTATCCTTGGCTGCTGTTGGTTACTCTTAGGGAGTGTTTTTGAGAGTAGGCATCTCTCCCATGCTTCTCTGACACCCCCAGGGGCTGTGGAGCAGAACCTTGGTAAAAGCGTACCACGGGGGCGGCTGACGGCAGACTCGTCAGCCAGCAGCCTCCTGTACCTGCCCTGGCAGCCCAGGCACCAAAGGCTGTTCCCAGCCTGCATCCTGGGCAGCGTGTCCCCACCCCACCCCCAGCAGCTGCCTCCCCAGGTAAGCCCCATGAAACTGTGGACTCAAGCCTTCTACAGACACACACGCTGTGGGCGGGCCAGCTGCTGACAGCAGCCCCAGGCCTGCCCTCCAGCGGCCTCCCTGCTCCTGTGCGCAGCGTCCTAGGTGTTTGCTGCCACACAGACCATGCGGCTTCGTGTCCTAAGTCTCCTGCCAGCTCCAGTGCTGTGTACAGTGTGCCTCAGAGGTGGTACCGCCAGGCTGGCAGCCGGGCCAACTTCGGCTGTCTCCTGAAGCACGGCTTGTTCAGTGATGAGAGTAAGTCAAGGCTTTTCTGCTCTGTAAAAACCCTGGAGACATGAGTAAGGCTAGCATCTCACCGGCTGGGCTCAGGGATGATTTGAGGGGAGGGGGATAGCAGGGTCGTTGTCGGGCACTGTGTCGCCCCACTGGCATGCCTGGCACAGTTCTAGCAGAGAGGGCCAACTCTTTGGCGGGTTGGCTCAAACCGTGTTTCCAGGGGCCCAAATAACTCAATTCCACTTCACCCAGTGAGCTCATTGGGCTGCTTTGCCCTGATTTGGCCACTTGGGCTGTTTTCTTCAATCTCAACACTTTTCTGGCCCCAGCTGTGCCGAGCCATCTGTGAAGGCCCTGACAGACACCTCCGAGTTGGAGAGGCCAGCTCAGCCCCCCACCCCCACCCCGGGCCGGAGTACACATGCGAATCTACCTCAGCAACCGCTGCCCCTCAGCATCTCTGACGGGCACCAGCGCGGGGCAGCCAAGCAGACAGCAGCGGCAGGAGAGGGACGGGGAGGATCCTGTGCTGCAGATCCCCTCCTGGGAGGCTCAGTGGTGGGAAGGTTATTTTTACCATCCAGGCTCTGAGAGCTGCACTATTAATAAGTTGCATGTGTCCCTTCCGAAGGTGGGGACGGTTCTGGGGGAGGGGGTCCTGGCCAAGCTGGAGGAGACCTGCTTCTCCCATTCCGGTCCGCGCCAGCCCTGTGTGTGTCTGGCCATCAGACTGGAACTGTTGCTGAGAGAACCTTTTCCACTTCCGTCTGAAGGCAGACTTTACCAGCATCTCAGAAACCGTAATAGTCATCTGTGCTCTGACCACGTCTGCTTCCCTCGACTGGAACCCCTCAGACCCTGGAAACCCCTGAAGCCTGGGCAGCCGGTTTGAGGGGTGTGTGCTGCTGGGTTTTCTTGGGGGACCTTCCTCCTCAGTATCCTTTGACCTTTTTTCTAAGTGGTGAATAAAAGGCAGGGGCAGAGAGCATCCTGTCCCAAGATTCCCGACAGGAAAGTATTCCTCAGCTGCCTTTTTAATTCAATGTGGCTTCTTGACTGTACAGCTGGGGAAGCATGGTTTGGATTTATTTCATAGGCTTCAGCCTTCCGCCTTCCCAGGTGGTTTTTCCAAGGCCTTAGTGAGAGAAGGTGGTGGCGGGGGCAGGGGACTGGGGGCGGGGCGTGACCCGCTCCCTGCGCAAGGGCCTCAGCATCACCCGTGAGCAGATTTCCATTCCCAGTCTTCACAGGCCTCTGCTTTAGTGGGGAGTGTGCTGAAGGCTTGTGAAGTCGGCACAGCTGAGCGGTCTTTGCTCCCTCTCCCGGCCTCCCGGGCTCCCAGCCCTGCTTGTCGGGAGGGATGTCAGGTACCAATGGGAGCTGGGCTGTTGTCAGGTCACTTGAAACATCAGTAGAATCTCTCTTTGGCCCTTGGTTGGCCCAGTGAGGAAGCCTTAACTAACTTCTCACTTTTTACCCCAGTTCTCCCGTGACTATTAATTCCTCCTCTCCAAAGGCTGAAAAAGACCACCTCCTTGGCCGCCTCACACCCCCCTGCCCCACTTGGCCTTTTCTTGGAGGTCTTCGAAAAGGGGGGGGGGACAATGGGGCCTACTGGCTCTGTGTGGCCTCTCATGCTCTGCATCCTGTGTGAGTTTGTGTTGTAAGCAGATCCTTGTTCTTTCTGTGTGAGAAGTGCCTTACCTGCTGTGTGGTCTCAGCTGTCACTCGTGTACAGCCAGCCCCCAGCTGCCAGGGGTCTAGGGCTGTTTGTCACGTGCAGCCAAGGGCACTGGGCCCGGTGTAGTTACATGTAAAAGGGACACAGATTGTAACAGTTTTGCCTCATTTGTCTCAACTTCTCCCACACCCCCAGCATTGCATTAGGGTCTGTGGTGTGTCCCTTGTTTTGTTTCTGGCTTCTCCCTGGTGTCAGCATTCAGGCCTGCCTGGGTGGCTGCAGCAGCCCGAGAAGGCCCATTGCAGCGACCATGCCTCATACCCGTCAAGGGAAGCTCAGAGGGCCAGGGGCACTGAGCCCCGTTTGTGCCTCCAGCCCCCACAGTGAGGCCTGCGCTTCCAGCTCCCATAGCCAAGATACAAAAAGGTGCCCTTGCTATGACCTTTCCTGCTCTATCTATTCAACCCAAAGTCTGTATGACAGAGGTGTTTACTTTCCCATCACAAGTGTTGGCTCACAGACACCTGTTGGACAGTGGGTCTGGGTTGGCCGTCGCAGAACTTCAAGCTCCTGATTCAGTGTTACCTTGTGTTAGCAGCAGCCCCCATCTCCCCTGCCCCCGGCCTGCCTGCCCTTCCCTCGCTCTCCGGGTTGTGCAATAACCCTCCCAGCCAGTGGTCCTCCACAGGCCTTGCTGTCCCTTCCAACGCCCTGCCACTGGGAAGGGAAGGGAAGGGACCCACGGGAGGGGCAGTCATCACCCCCTACAGAAGAAATGTTCGCCACTTTCCCTTCGTTGCTGCCGTTCTTGTGATACTGGGTAGGTTTCTGTGGCACTCTAGTAGAACATTGTAGCGTTATCTTAGAAGTCCATATAATTTTTTTAAAATTTATTGAAAAGGAAAAAAATAACTATCCTCATGATGGGGCATTAATAAGAGGAAAGAGTCAGTGTGTGGGAATGAGGTCTGTTGTGACACCTGAGGTATCACCATCCCTGCCTGAAAACAGTCTCGAGTTTCTCGTTCACGCGGAGAGGAAGGGCAGCCACGCGCGGGCAGCCCTCCGCCCCTGACAGGACCGCCTGTGAGGCTGCGTGCTGCCGTTTCCTGGGGCACAGAGTCAGGTGTTTGTGTGGTGAGACGAAGTCTCATTTCAGTTCTTGTTTAAGGAACATCTGAAGGACCAGCCGAGGCTGCTGGTGCCCTGAGCAACTCATAATGCAAATGTGGATAAAAAGTGTCTTTTTGTTTTTCTACTTAGCCTGTTCATGTTATGGACCAAATTTCAACAAGGAACTCAAGGAAAAATTGTACCTGCCGTATTTATGCTCATGTAAAAGGGGTTTTTGTTTTGTTTTGTTTTGTTTTTGTGAGGGGGGCTTTTTACTTTCAGTGAACTTTTTTCAGAATCCCTTTTCCACTGTTTCTGTCTGGTTTGAAAACAAATTACAGTTTTGTATGGATTTTTTAAATGTACATTTTGAAGCAAATGGTCAGCAAATATTTTTGAAATAACTGAATAAAAGGCATAGAATTATCAGTCTAATTGTTTCTGGTGCTATTTCTTATATTCCTTTTTGATCTGGATGCTTTGCTTTTACTTGACAAAATAAGTGTCAATTTTAATCTAATTTCTAATAATTTTCACTACACTAGTCATTTCATGTATCTCTTTTGAGATGTCTTTGTTAATTGTGCTCATGTGAGCTAGAGAACTGGAATGGATGGAGAAAGAGTTACCCAGATACTAGATAATAACAAGCATCATTTTTATTTGAGTCCATAACAGTAAAGTATAAGAGTGGAAAGGAGTTTTCTTGACATGGGGTTTGTAGTTGGGAGCTCCACCAGGCTTGCCGTTTATTATGAAGTCATTTGGCTAGAAGAAGATGAGATTAAGTGAAAGCCATCAGCTGTTTGTGTTGGTAACGAATAGATGTCCAAGTATTAGTAACAGTGGTGGGCGGTGGGCATTGCTGGAGTCAGTCAGGTGTTGTATTGCCTGTAGCTGACTGCTGTGTTTTCCAGAACCACCGTCTTCAGAGAAAGATCAGGGATGAGTAGAGTTACAGGGGGCAGTTAGCCAAAGGACACCCACGGGTATGAGGATTAAACAGGAAACCTTCAGCTGAGGCGCAGGTAAGCAGCGCTGGTGGAGGGCAAGCTTTGGTGCGGGCTTAGGTTGCAGCCCTGCTCTGCTGTGAGAAGCTAGGTGACCTCGAGCAAGTAACCTTGCTGAGCCTGTTTCTCACCTCTGTTCTGCAGTTTTGGTTTACTTGTTTGTTTTTGCAGAGAGTGATAGTGACTTAGGGATAGTACATGCTAAATTCATGGTACAAATAAAGCACTCAATCAATACATTTTTTAAATGAACCCGCTCATACTCATGTACCAGCAGGATATCCAGGAGTCACTCTCCAAGGGACCCTCGATTCTCTGGAAACATCTCTGTTGGTCCCAAGTACCATCAAAGCCTGTAGGTGAGTTTGATACACCCTAATTAGGTGGTGTGTTCAAGGCCCCCCGGTGGCACAGAGTACAGGGCTAGGGCCTGAGTAGTGGTGACTCACAGCCAACATTTACACAGAACCAGACTTTGCTAGCACTAAGTCTGGAAGCCGTCTTAAACCGTCTTACATGCATGCCTCAGGTTGCATTGCCTCAGGTGCAAACGGTAATAGGTGCCCCTGCTCCTGCAAACACTAATAGGGGATGTCTGCTCATTCCGTCTCAGCTCCCTGGCAGCCCAGTCAAAGGATGCTTATTTCTTCTTCCCACAACAGAGCTTACTTCAGGCTAACACCCAGCTCTTCCATCACCAGAGCCAGGGCTCCAGATGCATGCCAGGTGTAACCAGCATAAGGGAGTCTACATGACCCCTCCTGGTGGCACTGCCATTCAGGATCTCACTGGGAAAACTGAGTCGCTCTGACTTGTGTCTCCTATACCTGGATGCCCCGCATAAACTGGCAGTGGTGAGCAGTGAGTGTGGACACCACAGAAATGACCTGCTGGCCCTGGTCTTCTGTGAAGTAGCTGCTACACACCTTTGCCGGTGCTGGCAGATCTCAACTTCTCTGTCTTGGGTAAACATGGAAGGTGAGGCATGGACAGCAAGCTGAAGGCATATGTGGGAATAGTGCCAATCTCACTCTGAGACACTTCTCTAACAGAGCGGGCTGACTTTTAAATCCTGGTTCCCAATTACAATGGAAAAGATACAGGAGACTAAACAGGGAGATGTCAGAAATGACCTTAGCAGGGCTATGAGCACCTGGCTCTCAAAGGGTAGGTAAGAGGATGTTACGGTAAATGAGACCTTTTTCCTGCTGTCTCCACTTCGGTTCAGGACAAGGGTTGGCACGCATCTCCATGTAGTACAGACTGGGGCAGCTCCGGGGAGGCTTGCCAAAGAGGGCCCAAAGCTTCTGCAGATTCCGCTGGTCCATGGCAGGCCAGGCTGATGCAGCCATCACCGGAGAGCACGGGTTTTTGGAAAGGGGCCCTCAGAGAGCTGCAGGTCTACAAGCGCATTGATGGGGGTGCTTTAACAGCCTCGGGCTTGACGTGTTCCCCTGGAGTTTGAGGAGCACAAGATCTGGGGTACCTTCACCTAAAACAAGTCTCAAGGGAAGGGACTGGCTGAGCTGCCTGACTGCACAGCCCAGAGAGTCATACAGAGGGGGATGCTGGGCAAGAGTGGACACCCTGGAAGGGCAAGCCAGCCTGAAAGAGCCGCCTCCGAGAAGATCTCCTGAGACGAGGAGCCTGGAGGGGTGCTCTGTCGGAGCCAGGCGGTCAGCTGGAGCTGGGCCATCTGTGTCAGTGCAACGTGCCCTGGGAGAAACAGCCAGCCTCTAGGGTCCTGGCCCCCCCTCAGGACTTTGCCAGCCTCAGCAATTAGACTTTGCCCTCTTCCTCTGGTTTCTACCCCTACCTTTCCAGACACCAGAAACACCAGAAACAGCAGTATGGCTGAGTGGGGGCAAAAGGAACAGAAACCAGAAGGAAGAAACCCACTATATCTGCCTGACCCACTCCCTCACCTTCCTCCTCCTTCTGCACCCCCCTCCCCCCAACACACTTGCTACACACTTCCAAGCTTGGGGCAGGACTGAGCTGGGGCAGGACTGAGCTGGGGCAGGACTGAGCTGGGGCAGGCAGGACAGAGCTTTGTGTTTTTATTTTAGATTGAAATGAACTTTTAAATACTTAAAAATTAGACTCTTAAAATAGTTATGAGTGACTTGAGAAAACAAAACAAAACAAAACATGGATCCTTCTGGACATAGCAACCTGAGCAGAAAAGGGACAGTCAACACAATACATTTGCAGGCCTTTTATTCAGCTGGTTAGAGGTCGTTTGGCTCATTAGGAGAGGTCAAACCAAGGCAAGTTCCCCGCTAGTTCAGAGAGGGCCAGGCATCCTCTATCATGTAAAACACCATCCTCATTTACACCACTTTTTGGGTAAGGGAGGGATCAGACACAGCATTTATAAGGATGAGGTTGGTGGCTGACCTTAAGGAACAGCTCTGATTCTAGAAAGTCCATCCAAGCTTATCAGAAAACCAGTAACTGCTACTGGCCTTTTCCTTCTATCTCAAGGCAGGCTGTCTAAAAGCAGAGTTTTCTAAATTTTCTTCTTTTTTTTAACTACAAACCACATCAACAAATACATTTTACCTAACAACCCAGTAAATACACATTCCCGCTGAAACGAAGTTTCACAAAACAGTACATACCCTATTATGTATGAGCACCACACTTTGATATTTTCTATTTCATTTTCTAAAAATTCAGATCTGCTAATGGGCCTAGAAGCACAGTTTGGAAAACACTTGGTGTATTTCCCTGCAATACTGGCGCAACCAGGCAGCTGAGGAGCTGGGGCATTGGCTGAGCAGCAATACCAGCACTGTATGTTTATTTCCAAAACCCCAAATGGCACTTCTAGCAAATTCTCTCTTTTCTCCTGCTCTTCATCATTGTACACCTGTACTAGGGTTCCCCAGAGAAACAGAACCAGTAGGATGCATGGAGAGAGAGAATGAGATTTATTCTGAGGAAGTGGTTCACACGATTCTGCAGGCTGACCAGTCCCAAGATCTGCAGTCAGCAAACTGGAGGAGACTCATGGAAGCTGGTGGCGTAGCTCCGGTCTGAAGGCCCACATACTTGGGCCTCAGGAGGAACTAACACTTTGGTTCAAGTCAGAGGCAGGAAAAAGCTGGTGTCCCAGTTTGAAGGCAGTTAGGCAGGGGGAATTCTCTCCTACTTAGGGGAGGGCCAGCCTTTTTGTTCTACGTAGGCCTGTATGAGTTGGATGAGGCCCACCAGCATCGGGGAGGGCAGCCTGCTTTACTCAGTCTACCAATTCAAATGTTAATCACATCCAGAAACACTCTCACAGACACCCAGAATGATGTTGGACCAAATATCTAGGGACCCCAAGGCCCGGTCAGCCTGCCACATAGAACGAACCATCACAACACCCCTGCCCCTACCTCCCTCAGTAAGGCACCAATTTTAGCTCCTACAAGATCCAATTTAATTTAGACTTCAGAAATATAAGAACAAAATATACCTATACATACACATACATATATAAGTATGTATATATGTATATAAATGAAATGTCACGGGCTCTGTAAATGCCTCTACAAAGAATACAAGGTATACTTCAAAGTGTGGGTCCAACCTCACAGGACTGTGCTGCGTTCTCTCCTCGGCCAGGTCAGTCTGAGAAAGCACGGACGAAGTTGTAGTAGTTGATCTTGTCTTCTCCGTGGTGGCACAGCCTGATTAGCTGTGGGAGAGAATGACAACAGCGGGTGAGCAGGCGTGCGGGGCCGCCTTCTGCGTAATGGCAGCGTGCGCATGGCCGCAGTGGTCCCCGGCCTTTGCAAACCAGTTCAGAGTTTTGATGTCCTCAATTGGTTCTGAAATGATCCTGGGAACCCAGGAGGTAGGTCAGATGTTATCCCCTCTTACAGTGAATAAAATCAAACCTCAGAGTAAATGGCCTGCCTGCCTGAGATTTCAGGACTAACATGTGCATTTATAAGGGCATTGTCATTTTTTAAATGTTTTTTTAAGCACTTTTAATTGTTTTTATATTCAAGTGCAAGGCTTTGGCCACCCAGCACCCTGTGCACACTGCTGTCCTGCTGTCCCACAGCCTAGCAGCAGGACCGAGTGACGTCACTGAGCAGGCTGTGGCCTTTGGAGCTCGGCTGTGAGGGCAGTGGGCCCATTTGCTGTGGTTACCTCATAAGACACGTGCAGGCCCATCCCACCCCCTTCCCTGTCCCACCTTCCACTGACTGCAGCTCCTCTCATGTCGGGTCCACACAGTACACATGACTGAAAAGTCAAAATCCGGGTGTGCTGTCAACCCAAGATCTGGGAAGCTAAAGGCTTTGGCCCATGCAAACGAAACACTCGTTTGTCCGCCTTCCCTGCTCCATGCTAATGTTTCTGTCTACAAAATATCCTCGTCTCCAACCTAGTCACTCTAGCCCTCAACTAAAGCCTTCC